TCCTTTCCTGTACATGATTCGAGAATTATTAATTATCGCACCACAATGGTAACCAGCAGTAGTTCTAAGGTCGTTTTTTTACTCGTCGTCGATGATGATAGAATCATAAGATAGCAATATAACAGAAGGACTTTATCACTGCGATTACAAACAGTAAACAAATTGTACAGCAGACGATAGTTATAGAAATATATAGAAAATATAGAGAGTACAAGTTCCTGTTTTTCTTATCGATTATTCCTAAAAACCACATGCAAGATGTTTGCTACAATAAACATCAGTACAAAATTATTTTGTATGCATCGATTTAAGTAAGTTATATTTGATCATTGTTCACTGAATAGTATTCATCCATATGTATTCATATGTATATATGTATATACATATATATATCATTTTGCATGTTTGCTTACTAGTCATCATTAAGATGAAAATTAGCAAATGATAACTTATGTTACCTTGAAAACACACATACATAAACATCAATCTTTTTTTTTTCTGGCTCCTACAGAGATCCACTACATAGAAGAGAAAAACATTCACCATATGTGACAAATTATTTAAAATATATAATTAAGAAAAATATTTTTCTTATATTTATTTAGACTTAATTATGCTTCCATTTTAATCGTACTTCTTATCAGCATCTTCATTGAAACAAGCAATGCTCAACAAAGGGTATGTTCACTAATTCACATTACTTCATGATGCAATCATTTGAGATGAATAATAATAATAGGTAATAGTAATAAGCTACTATTGCACATAAACAAATCAAATATGAGTACAAAATACATATGTGAATTGATTGCATAGAGATTGAATGACTTGTCTATTGATAGTAATTATTTTGTTATTATTTTGTATTATTGAGCAAATGCCGTAAGACAATAAAGATCAATATCAGCTCAATAAATATATATGTACATATGCACATAATATGATTAATTTGTTTTTTAGTACCCAGATTCTGGTCCAGTAACACCACCACCAGGTTATGCATTTGCACCTGGTTATGGATCATCTCAATATCAACCAAAAAATCGAACGAGCAATAGTGCTGATTGTAACAATTGTAATCAACCATGTTTTTGCATAGCACAAAAAGGAGACCAGGTAAATTAATCAATATATATATATATATATTAGAAAAGACTAACATTTTTGTAATAAATATATAGGGTCCAGCTGGTCCAATGGGCCCTGCTGGTGCTCGTGGAGTGAATGGTGTTCCCGGTCCCGAAGGTATGTTATACATATATATGTACATATAGTTAAATGTGACTAAAAATTTTATTTTTATAGGACCTGAAGGTATGAAAGGTGAAAAAGGTGATCGGGGTTTACCCGGTTTACCAGGCCAAAAAGGTGACAGAGTAAGTTATTATTATTAAAATATTAATTTATAATTATATTATTATAATAAATAGGGACGATCCGGTGAACCAGGCATGCCCGGTATGAATAAAAATATTAATTATTATTTTGAATATTATACAAAATATCTTTTGTTTAGGTCATCCCGGTTTACCCGGTCTTCCAGGCCCAAGAGTAAGTCTCTATTAATATCATATGTATATATAATTATTTTTTTTTCTTTTATTTTAGGGACCAGAAGGTAATTGATCAATATATTCAATAGAGAAGATAGAATGATCATTTTATTTTTTCAGGTTTACCTGGTCGTGATGGATGTAACGGATCAAGAGTAAATAAGACAAATTTTAAATAATAAAGTTTCTATTTTTTTCATTGTCTATAGGGTGATGCTGGTCGACCTGGATTTAGCGGACAGGTAACATATATAAATAACTTATAATTCGAAAATATATTTAATTTTGATTGTTTATTTAGCCCGGTCGTCCTGGTGAACCTGGTGTGTATATGATTCAAATGGATTGAATTATATTTATTTATTTTCTTCGTACTTTAGGTATTCCTGGTCAACGAGGTCCCAAAGGTGACCCTGCACAAGCTTTACCCGGATTCAAAGGCGAAACTGTATGAATATTAAAAAAAAATCTATATTTATCTATTTATATAAACATATTTTTATATAAATTTTAGGGACCTCCAGGAGCTCCCGGTCTTCCTGGTGCTGCAGTAAGTTTTTTTTATGAATTTTTATTGCTTATAGAGTAATACTGTTTATTTCCATAGGGTACTCCAGGTAATGGTGGTATTCCCGGAAATGCTGGTGGTGTTGGTTTTCCTGGACGTGAAGTAAATAATGAAACAATGATTTTCTTAGTAGTACTATATGAATAATATTTGTAGGGCGCTAAAGGTGATCGTGGTGAACCTGGTGCTGCAGGTACGGGGAAATACATATTTAATTGAAACAATATTTTTTATCAACTGATATTTAGGTATTCCTGGAACTGGATTCAATGGTGAACGAGGCCAAAAAGGAGAACCCGTAAATACAAATATTATCATAAATAGTTGTATTCTTACAATTTTATTTTTTAGGGATCATCTGCTCCCTATCCATCCATAGGTCATGTAGAAGCAACAGGTAACTTTACTGTTGTTCCAGTACCAACTCCTGGTGCTCGCGGTGAAAAGGTACGTATTTTTTTTTTGCATTAAGATAAAATTATAATTTGTTTCTAATTAATTATTATTATTGATAGGGTGCTATGGGTCATAAAGGAGAACCTGGTGAAATTGGTTATCCTGGTGCTCCAGGTTCAGCTGGACCAGCAGGTATGACCGGTGAAAAGGGTGTACCAGGCCCCGTTGGACCACGTGTAAGTATTTTTATTAATGATTTTTTTTCCTTCTCATATTATTTCTCTTCTAATAGGGTCCTACTGGTTTACCAGGTCAAGCTGGTTTTCCTGGACAAGCTGGGTAAGTTTATTCTAGTTTTATTTAATTAAATATACTTAATTCTATATATTTATTTCAGTGATCGTGGTAGCCCAGGTTATCCTGGTTCATCTGTATGTGTTATCAAAGATTGGAGAAAAACGTATCAATTATGTTTTTTTCTCTCAATGTATTTTTAGGGTACTCCCGGAAGACCTGGTAACAATGGATTATCAGGAGACAAAGGTTTGTATAGTACATTTCTTTGTAAAGATAGAATAATTATTAATATCATATTTTAGGTGATCGTGGTTTCCCTGGTATGCCTGGCATGTGTATACCTGTAAGTAGAAATATTTTTATTTTTAACACAAGATTTTTTTTATTTAATAATTTATTCTTTGATAGGATGGACCCGATAGTGGAATGGCAGGACAACCAGGAGCAACAGTAAGTTAAAAAATAATATTGTTAACTAGCATTTATTTTATTGAATTTTATTTTTTAGGGAGCTAAAGGAGAACGCGGTAACTAATTACAAATGGTTAAAAAAAATATGCTGGAATATTTTTTTTGTTTCTTAGGTCCACCAGGTACAGCAGGTTATCCCGGCGGTCCAGTAAGTATTATTTATTTATGAATTCATATTTTAATAGTATTATTTTAAAAGGGTTTACCCGGTGCACAAGGTCCAAAAGGTGATCGTGGTTTTGATGGAGCACCTGGTAGCCCAGGTCAAGGTAAGCTGTCTATGATTAAGAAAGATATATTTTTTTATTAACCTTGTATTTTACTATTCGTTTAGCTGGACGTGATGGTATTAAAGGAAACCGAGGAGATAACGGACGAGCTGGTAAATGATTCATTGTTCAAAAGAAGTAAATTGTACATGTATATAATATAATTTAGGTGATCCCGGTGCGTCTGGATTTCCCGGTCCACAAGGTTAGTTAAAATAATAAAGATGAATATTTAATTGATTTATTGATTATTATAGGTTATCGTGGAGCTAAAGGTGAACCAGGTCCAAAAGGTAAATAAATTGATTAAATCAAATTAATTTATATTTAATGAATTGTGATTCTATAGGTGAACCTGGTCGTGCAATTCCTGGTCCACCTGGTATTGATGGTTATTCAGGTCAATCTGGTCTTCCAGGAGCTAAAGGTAAATATCTATTGATAAGACATTAAACATATTTATAATTTTAATTATTTAGGTGAACGTGGTTTACGTGGTATGCCTGGTTTACCTGGTAACGGATCAGGTGGTGGAGGTTTACCTGGCCCACAAGGACGTATGTATTTCTTAATAGAAAATGAATATTTTCAATATCGTTTATCGATATTTTAGCTGTTGGTCCAACTGGTAGTCCTGGTGCACCTGGCTTTCAAGGTATCGCCGGTGGTAAAGGAGACAAAGGAGACCGAGGTAATTTGTTTTTTTTCACTAGTAAAAATTCTTTATAAAAACGTCAAATTCTTTATCAAGGTCTCGAAGGTCAATGTGGTGCACGTGATGGTTTGAAAGGTAGCAAAGGTGAACCTGGTTATCCAGGAGAAGCTGGTAAATAAATATATTTATTGAATACGATATATTCTTATATTTTAATAATAATAATATAGGAACCCCTGGCCAACGTGGTACTTCAGGAGAAAAAGGTGATCGAGGTATGTTAAATATATATTACTTTCATAGAATAGAAATGAATGAAATTATTTTCGTTCAGGTGATGGTGGTTTACAAGGTTACCCCGGTAATGTTGGTCAATCTGGTGCACCCGTAAGTTTTCAAGATTTTTATTTTATTTGTTAAATTCATTTCTTTTTCAAAATAGGGTCGTAATGGTATGGACGGTGAACCAGGTCTTAAAGGAGACAAAGTTAGTTTAATTCATATAATATTGATTATCTTCAAAATATTTTATTTTATAGGGTGAATCAGCTCGTGTTGGAACAGTACAAGGAATGTCAGGAGAAAAGGGAACACCAGGTTAGACATATAATAATCTTTATTGTAAAACAATTTATTAAATATTAAACGATTCATAGGTCTTCCCGGTTTGAAAGGTGATCGTGGAGAAAAAGGTACGGATTTATGAAATACCTCAACTTATCTATAATTTGATTGTTTTCAGGTTCACCAGGTTATAGTGGCCGAGATGGTCAACCAGGTCCAGGTGGAGTAGCTGGAGCTAAAGTAAATAATTTTGTAATAACCTATTAATAACAAATATTAAATTAATATCCTTTTAGGGTGATGCTGGCTATCCAGGTATGCAAGGTCCACCAGGTAGCCCAGGTCCAATGGGTGATATTGGTCCACCAGGTGCAACACTTCCAGGTGAACGAGGTGAAAAGGGTATTCCAGGTCCAGTCGGTTAGTATAAATTATTTTAAAATTTCTGTTCTTTTACTATTTTCTTTTATCATAGGTATTCCCGGCCCACAAGGTTCTCCAGGTATCAAAGGTGAACCAGGTAAGATTTCATAATTCACAAATGTAAATAAATTTTTAATGAAAATATTTCTTTTTTTTTTCTTATTCAGGTCGACCAGCTCCTCAAGGATTAACATCATTACCAGGCCCACAAGGTGAAAAAGGTGATCGTGGTTTCGCAGGCTCTCCAGGTCTTCCAGGATCACAAGTAAAATTTATTCACAATAACATTATTTAATTTATTAAATCGAAATATTTTTAGGGTTCAAATGGTATGCCAGGTTTACCAGGCGCACCCGGATCAAAAGGTGAATCAGGTTTACCAGGCATGCCAGGTCTTCCAGGACCAAAAGGCATTACAGGTATAATATTAATTAAATTTTTTTCGTATAATAAAATAAAACTTTTTTCTTCTATTATTTAAGGTTATCGTGGTGAAGCAGGTGTGTTTATATTGTTCCACACACATGAATAGAGAAAAACAATGGTTTTTTTCTTTTTTATATAGGTCTTCCAGGTCGTGATGGAACACCAGGTCTTCCAGGAACAAAGGGTTTTGGTAAATATTGAACTAATCAATTATATCTGTTTAATATTATTTATCGTTATTTTTAGATGGTGCACCAGGTCTTCCAGGTCGTGGAGGTATATTCATTTTAAATATATAATAAGATAGGATTGAATTAATATTTAACTAATTTTAACAGGAGAACGAGGTGAACCAGGTCTTCCAGGACCAGGCTTCCCAGGTACGATAAATCATATATATATATTTAAAATATTTAAATAATTATTATTATTTCAGGAGCCCCTGGACCTGTCGGCCCCGGTGGTGATCGTGGTTTCCCAGGTTTACCCGGCCCAGCTGGTGAAACTGGCTTCCAAGGCATGAAAGGTATGTTTACTAAATTTATAATGCAAATGCCTTATGAATTCTATTTTAAATTATAGGTGATGCTGGTTTACCAGGTGTAAATGGACTTCCAGGTCCAGCTGGTTTGAAAGGGTAATCATAAAAGTTGAATTCAAATTATTTTATGCTATTGTATTTTATTTATATAGTGAACGAGGTGAACCAGGTTTTGGTGGACAAAAAGGTGATCAAGGTAAGAAAAACAAAAAAAAATTTTTTCAGACAAATTAATCATTTTATTTTTTTTAATTTATAGGAGCAGCAGGTGCCCCCGGTATTGATGGTAAGTTGATCGACTATTATTTACTTTCGTCTTGATAAAACTAACTTTTATTCTTGTTCTTTTAGGCTTACCAGGTACATACATTCGAATAATTTGATAAAATATCAAATCTTTTATTCGTTTTTAAAGGTCTTCCAGGCCCATTAGGTCCACCAGGCGCCCCAGGTTTATCTGGAGAAAAAGGCTTCTCAGGATTACCGTATGTTAACAAAAATTTGAATAATTATTAAGTTGCTATTATTTTAATTTAATTTTCAGAGGAGGAAACGGACAACCAGGTCTTCCAGGCATGCCAGGAATGAAAGGTGAACGTGGTTTGAATGGAAATCCAGGATTGAATGGAGCACCAGGTCCAGGAGGTGAAAAAGGTCTCGCTGGCTTCCCAGGAGGACCAGGACCAAATGGAATGCCAGGTCTTCCAGTAAGTTAATCAAAAAATTTTATAATTTCTCTTTCAATCTCTCTTTCTTTTCCTATAGGGCTCTGCTGGTTTCAAGGGTGATCGAGGTATAAAATTTTAATTCTAGTTTTACATACGAACAATTCCTACTTATATATTTCTATTTAAGGTCTACCCGGTTTACCAGGTGCATCATGTGGATCATGTGTCGCAGGTCAACGTGGTGACCGAGGCTTCGCAGGTACACCAGGTACACCAGGTCAAAAAGGAGAACCAGTAAGTTTATCAGAAAAAAATCAATAGATATGACATTTTATATAATAAAAATTTTAATAGGGTCAGGCATCTGCACGTGGACCACCAGGCGAACGGTAAATAATATACGTATACTGTAATTTATTTCCTATTCCTTTTTTTGTGTTTTATCAGTGGTCCAGCAGGTTTCCCAGGAGCTCCAGGTCTTCCAGGTATGGCTGGCAAAGATGGTATGCCAGGTCTTCCAGGTGCTAAAGGAGAACGAGCTGTTGGTCCAACAGGTAATAATATTAAATTTTCTTTTAAAATTCTCATCATTTTTCTCTGTTTATACAATAGGTATCAAAGGTGCTAATGGTGAACCAGGTTTACCAGGCCCATCAGGTTTACCAGGACAACCAGGTGAACGTGGTTCACCAGGTGGCAATGGTAAGACAACATACATATTTAAATATAGATATACATATAAAATAAATATCTACCGTTTGTTTTAGGATTCCCTGGCGCACCCGGTGAACGAGTAAATAATTTTCTTTAAAATTTTTCAGAAAAAGATTTAATATTGTGTTGTTCTTATAGGGTTTACCAGGTCCAAGTGGATTACCAGGTAAATTAAATAGATAAATAAATAATATATTATAATACTTTACTATTGATATTTTTAGGTGCTCCCGGTCTTCCCGGTTTAGGTGGACAAAAAGGTATTTTATTTAATTAATAAAACAAATTTGTGTATAATAACAAATAATTTCTTTCTAGGTGATCTTGGCTTTAATGGATTACCAGGTCAAAAAGGAGAATCAGGTGCCCCAGGTAAAGACTTCATCAAAAAGAAATATCAATAAATAATATCATATTTTTTCCTCAATTAGGTTTGAATGGACCACCAGGCATGAATGGTATGAAATAAATAGTTTATCATGTAATCGATCTAAATATTTTTTTAATTAATAGGTATGCCAGGTGGCAAAGGTGATGCAGGTATGCCAGGTCGTGATGGTGGTGCTGGCTCACAAGGACCTAAAGGAGATCGTGGTCTTAATGGATTCCCAGGTACATTCATATCATATTCATTCATCTAATCTCTTTTCAATATGATATAGGCGCTCCCGGAGCTAAAGGTGCTGCAGGTGTACCAGGTAAATAATTCTTTTCGTATATTCTATGTGTATATATTTTCAAATTATGTTCTATATAGGTCTACCAGGTCCAGGAGGTCTTCCAGGTTCAGCAGGTTTCCCCGGTACAAGCGGTCTTCCAGGAATGAAAGGTCTGTACATTTAAAAATAAATGACATATTCAATATATAATTGTTCTATTTTATATAGGTGATGCTGGTTTACCAGGTCTTCCAGGATCAAACGGTAAAATATTGAATTATTAAGAAAAATCTTCCAAATTAATATATATATATATATATGTATAGGTCCACCAGGAATGAATGGTCCAGCTGGTCTTGCAGGAGATTCTGGTATGTATTGAGAGAGAATAATTTCGTTTTAATTTGTTTCTCTTCTTATTTAATAGGTTTACCAGGTATGGCAGGTCAAAAAGGTGAACCAGGTAAATATTTAAACTAATAATATTTTTTATAATATATAATATTTTCTCTTCATTTAGGTTATGCTGCTTCCGGAAACAAAGGTGAACCAGGTTCAAATGGTCGTGATGGTAAGAGATATCAAATGAATTCTTTCATAAAACGATTTTATATTTGAAAAACAGGTTTACCAGGCATGCCAGGAGAAAAAGGGTAAGATTTAAATAATAAATTTTTTTTTACAATAAAACAAAGTATTTGTGTTTTTTTAGAAACCTAGGTGGCATTGGTCAACCCGGTCGTCCAGGTCTTGATTGTAGAGTACCAATTCCCGGCACTGTAAGTGAACAAATAAATAAATTAAAAGAAATATAAAACTAAATTACTTTTTGATATATTAGAAAGGTGATGCTGGCTTACCAGGTCTCCCAGGTGCTCCAGGTTTACAAGGTAAATGACTTGATTTGATTTGTACTCTAACTGTTTTTCTGTTATATTTATAGGTGCTCCAGGTCCAGCAGGCAAAGATGGTTAGTAGAAAAAATATAGTTTAATATTTCAACAAAAGTTATAAATTTGAATATTATTTTTCAGGATTCCCAGGTACTGGAGGTATGCCAGGTATGCCCGGTGCCAAAGGTCGTGATGGATTCCCAGGTGCAAATGGTTTACCAGGTGCCCCAGGTATACTTATTCATAAAATATTGAAATGTCGTAATAATGATAATTTCTTTTCATAGGTGAACGTGGTTTCGCTGGAATGCCAGGTTTGTTCAAAAATAATTTTTATTTAACATTTTCTTAATGTTTTTCTACTTAAAAATTAATCAGGTCAACCAGGTTTACCAGGAGAACGAGGTATGAATAGTATATAGAAACAATAAATATATCATGAATCAAATTCTGTTCTTTTATTTTCCAGGAACTAATGGATTCCCAGGCAACCCAGGTATGTGATAGAATATAAATATTTGATAGATGTTGTATTATTTTCTTTTGCATAGGTCTTCCCGGACCAAAAGGTGATCGTGGTTATAACGGAGCTCCTGGTATGAATGGTATGCCAGGTGAACGTGGTCAAAAAGGTGATTGTATTCAACCACAACCAATGCAAGCCCAAGCAGGTCAAAAAGGAGATCAAGGTCCACCAGGAGCACCAGGTAATAAAAAACGATTTAAAAAATTGTCTTAATACATTTTTCTTTTGTATAAACTTAAAGGCTTACCAGGAATGGTAGGATTAGCAGGTATGTGTATAAAATAATTTTTATTTAAATAATTATTGATATACTTTAAGGTCAACCCGGTCCACGCGGAGAAAATGGTCCACCAGGTCAACCAGGCCAACCCGGTTTACCCGGTTATGTTGGACCTAAAGGTGAACGTGTAAGTAGACAAATCTGTTTTTCTTTTACATTCAAGAAAAATGTCTCGACTATTTTTAGGGTACATCCGGTACTCCAGGTGTTTCTGGTATTGCTGGTCCACCAGGTAACGATGATCATGAAAAATTCTTGATAGAAATTTATTGAAATATAATTTTCTAGGTGCAAGCGGTCCCCCAGGTCCAGCTGGTCCTGGTCTTCAACGAACTGGTTTCATGGTTGTTCGTCATTCACAATCATCACAAGTACCCGATTGTCCATCAGGCATGGTTAAACTTTGGGATGGTTACAGTTTACTTATGATGCAAGGAAATGATCATGGTTATCATCAAGATCTTGGTACTATATTCCTTTTCGAACATAGAATCAAATATTAAAATTTGTTTTGTTTTAGGCTCGGCTGGTTCATGTCTTCAAAAATTCTCTGCTTTACCATACTTACGTTGTGATCATACAAATGTTTGTTATTATGGTCAAACAAATGATTTAACATATTATTTATCAACAACAGAACCAATGCCAATGATGCCCGTTCAACGTGATAACATTCGACCATATATTTCACGTTGTGCTGTTTGTGAAGCACCTGCTAATGTTATGTCATTCCATAGTTTATCAATGACACCACCACCATGTCCAAATGGTTGGAATATTTTATGGCAAGGTTATAGTTTTGTTATGGTAAGTAGATCATACTTTAAATAAAACTTAAATCTATTCTAACATCGAATGACAATTATTATATGTATATATTTTAGCATCTCGGTCGTGGTGCACAAGGAGGCGGTCAATCATTAGCAAGTCCAGGTTCATGTCTTGAAGATTTCCGTGCAACACCATTCATTGAATGTTCTGGAACAGATGGTAACTGTATGTATTATGCAAACAAATTCAGTTATTGGATGACAGTTATTGATCAAAATAATCAATTTGAAGTTCCACGTCAAGAAACATTAAAATCTGGCAATCATAGAAATAAGATCAGTCGTTGTACTGTCTGTTTGAAAACACAACAAAGTGGTGGCCAAGGCGGTTTTCAAAATGGCAATTACTATGTGGGACAAAACATAAAAAAACACTAGACTACATTTATTGAACTCTTATTTTTCTTTTCTTTTTTAATCTGTCTCTCTCTTTATTCTCATATGTGATTGATGATAATGAATTTATTTATCTTAATCATATATTTATGCCGATTAGTCAAGCATATTTTATGATGAAAGATAAACAGTCATGAATCTACATGTGAGAAAATGAATTATTTCACTCACAGTAATTTGATTGTTTGTTATCATCATCATGTTATGTTCCCTCTGTGTCATTTTGTTAACTATCATATCATCATCAAGTTTCTTTATTTCTTTTTTTTTTTTCTTATATCATCTTCATCTATTTTTGCTCTATTTTCTATTTGCTGTATTCTCGGTCTTTTACACAATACATATAAACAGTACACATACATATTTTATTGAAGAGTGAGTGCTAATTCGGTTTGTACGTTTGTGTAAAGACGTGTTATTATCATTATTTTTTTTTTGTCTTCATTAATCTCGTTTTTTTTATTCGGCTGTCAATCAGCTCATAGTGTTAGAGTGAGCATATGAAAGAAAGATATACGTGTGTTTGATTTGAATTTTGTCTCTCTCTCATTTCTTTTCAATAATAAATATCAATCAGTATTCTAAAATACAATTCATACATAGATTTTTAATGCATCAATTATACAACAAAACTAGAAAGTATATCGGAATATAAATGATGAATAGAATTATTTCTGTTTTGATAAAGACAATAGTATCAGAAGATTATATAAATCTGATGGAAATTGTTTTTAGTTAGTTGATGCGGCTCAATACTCTGAATGACATTCTCGATCTGATTAAATACTTATCTATATTTCGAAGAATTTTTAGTAGTATGGAAGGATTCATTCGATCTCGTCTATACTAATAGGTCAAGTTAAGTGAACTCCAAATTTGAAGTTTACAAGTTTCAAGTTTTTTCGACAAACTGTAGCTTGTAACTGCTTTTTTTCTCTTGAGCATCACCAGCCGACTCAGTACAATCCATAGTATCTATTAGAGCAATCAAAAACAGATAATGACAGTTTTCAGGTAGCTTTTCGCGAAAACTTCGACATCAGTAAACTCCAAATTTGGAGCATACTTAACTTGGCCATATTAATAGATCTTCCTGAAGGGATACTTTGTTACCATTATATTTCAAGTTTCACATAATTATTTGAACTATTACAATACTTTTCCTGTTTTTGATAATTTCAACTTTTTATTCTTTACGCATGAATAACAATCAATAGTTGTGAACTATATATGATTCTTATTTCGCATTTTGAACAATCATCATTCAGTTGAAAGAGCACATTGTTCTCAAAAAAGAATACATTAACCTTTTGCTTGAATGATAAGATGTCAATAAAGGAAATTTTTTCAAAATAAATAAACATTCAAAATGATACAGAGTAGTAATTTAATAACACTTCATTAAATGATGATAGACAAGAACACGATATATACTATTGACTGACTGCTTATCTTATTTATATTCATTGAAGAAATACATTCAAATTTATTATTAAAATATATACCTGCAGATATTATGTGGCACGTGAAGATTAAATAACCACTTGCTTTATTTATGGCACTATAGTATTATTCTTTTCACAAAGAAGAATAGATATTTCATCTCAGTTAATTATTCATTGTTCAACATGCTATCAAAAAAAATCGTTTTTTTCTTTCACAAATATCAGTTTGATATAGATGTGCGAAAAATTTTCCTAACATTTATTTTTATACAATTAACAAAACAATAATGAACTATGTAAGTAAGAATAAAAATCGAAGATATCAAGTACTACAGCAATTTTCTTTTGATTGTTGTTTAGTATTGTAATCTAGAAAAAGATATAAATAATTCAGAATTTCTCTTTCAAATTAGTTCTTACTATTTGAATTAAGACTAACAGCTAACTGAGTTTTTGCTGTTAATTTTTCAGTAGATGTATTTGATGAGTTTAATTGTTGTTTAACTAACATTTGATATGATACACAAGCAATACGTTTAAAAAATTCTTGAACTTGATGTCCTGCATATTAATTATAATTTCTTAATATTTCTTAATTAAAATTCTTACCTGTTAATGATGAAACACTCCAGAATTCCGCATTGACACGTTTCGCAGTTATACGAGCTGTTTGATCTATTTTTGCATAAACTTTATCATCTGTCTAAAAAATTTTAAAAAAAAAGTATTTTTATATGATAGAATATTTAATCTTACAATTAAATCTCGTTTAGAACCAACTAAATATATAAGTGGATTATCAGTTGCAATTGTTTTTAAGGCTTCATTAATCCAACGTTCAGCACTTTTTAGTGTATCAAGATCATTCATATCAAATACAGCTATGATTACGTGAGCACCACGATAATAAGCAGCTATTTTTTTTGTAAAATAGATGAATTTTAAGTATGATAGAGTATACCTAAATATATATTTACCTGCTATACATTTGAATCGTTCTTGTCCAGCAGTATCCCATATTTGTAATGACATAGGTACACCTAAAATTAAGAATTTTTCAACTTCAAAATCCACTCCAATTGTTGCTTTATAATTTCGATCAAATGTATTATGACATAGCCTAAAAATTTTTATAATAAATCGATTTTAAATTTTTATAAATATTTATACCTTGTTGCTAAACATGATTTTCCTACGGCAACATCACCAATAAGAACTAGTTTACAAATAAGATTACTAAAAAAAATCTTTCAAAATTAAAAATCTATCTAAAACAAATTTCTTTAATACATACGATGGTTTTTGACTACGTTGATTTGTTGAATAATTTATAACATTCTCATCAAAACTAGGAAAAGCATCAATTGATGATAGGTAACCATATGGCTATAGAAACAAAAAAAAGACAATTTTATGTATGAATAAATAATAAATATTATCAACATACTGGTACAAATTGATCAATTTTTCTATCGCTTGGAATACTATTTGTTAGAGTAGCAATTGGCATTTGTGATTCTAATCGATAAAAAAGATTCGCATCCATTTGTTCTATATATTTAATGTTACTTAGCAATACTCTCTTCCTCTCCTATAATAATTGAACACATATGGACAAGAGTGGCATCTTGAGGATATATATTTATAAGTATTGAACAAAGACAAAAAAACTTCCTCTAGTTAGTTTTCTCTTTTATACAACTTATTAGATGTTATAAACAAGATCGATCATAAAGTGCGACCTTGTTTTTAAGTTAAGACGAACTAAAACTACAATTATTGAATACGATCTGCATCTATTCATAGAATATATTATTGAAGAGTATCATTTGGCTTGATTATATAGTGATTTATTATTATAATACGAATAGATAATTTAATTGAATATATAGTTATTTAAAAATTATGAATTAATCATTTTACTGATCAACAGAAAAAGATAGTCAAAAATCGTATAACTATTTTTTTTTGTTATAACCATTCCAACACATCTCTATTTCTACTAATCCAAATATTATTAAATGTATTTTTGTCTGTTGTTGTTTTTTTTTCCATTCGTTTGCCAATCATCAAAATACAATAGACAAGAAAAAAAAAATTATAAAAATTCATAAAAGTATTATCTATTTGATTATTTCCATACTATTCTTTTAATATAATCAAATAGAGTTTTTTTCTATTGATCATTAATTATTTTTTTTTATAAAATGTACTGAATCAATAATAATCAATTGAATCATATTCCCAATGGATATATCTTATAATTTGATCGAAAATAATGAATATACAAATATATACATATATGAATGTAAACAAACGTTTTTTGACCTTAAGAGAGAGAAGAAAAAAAGACGATATTAGGATTTGTTTTATTCTTGAATTAACACAAAATACATCATGTCTAATCAATATTTATATTAGTTTTACTTGATAATAAATACTAAGTCTAAAACTGTATTGATTATTTGTTATGGTTTTTTTTTTCAAAGAATATCAAATACAAACTACATTGTTAAATAATCCGCGCAAAACAAAATTTATATATATATATATGTTATATATCGTGCATTGAAACAATGTCGATAATTAAACGTATGTCAACATTATCACAGTGTTGGAGATATATAGATATATGTGAGAATGAATTCTCATAAAGATAAAGCATAATTGTAATGGATTAAATCCCATAGTAAGATGTTGTCATCAAATCAAGATAATATTATCATACACCATCAAATTCATTTGTATCTTCAATGACGGGTGGTACACGTGGTGCAATCATGTGTGTTACAAATGGTTGAGTATGGGTATCAACACTTGATTGACGACGTACATAGAATGGTGTTGCTTGTGTTGTATTATTTTTATTACCTGAAAAGAATAATAATAATAATAATGAATAATACAATAGACAGAGTATTCGTTTTCTAGAAGAAAGATTTTTGTTCTAATAGAAATTATGCTGATAGGCTTGCTAATCAGAAGGAAAGAATTCAATGTTTTTCTTTCTTAAAACAATCAATTAGTAGACGTATTCAATAGACATTATGATTTTCTTACTTATAAATAACTCATATAATTTTTGAGATTAACCATACATTTTCAGTACTTTCTTCAATAATATTTATCTATCTCAATTAATTCAAATAGAATTTTTCTAACGACGATTAAAATGGCACAATAATCTCTTTTTTTCCTAACAAAAACCCAACTTTTTCTTCTCTGATTTACGTCATTGTTATGCTAGTTAAATAAATGCACATACATTTTGACATGCAATAATTTATCTTCAGGCAATCAAATCAAAAAAAGAAACTTTAGTTATTAGGTCATAATGTTTTTTTTTTCTTTTGTGAAATAGTTTGCTATATGATCTCTAAATTATACCATTAATATCCGGAAGTCTTATATCGATTTACTTCTCGTAGATTCTAATGATCATCAATTTCGATTGATGGTTAGATTTGAATTCATATGAAAAAAAGAAATCAGCTTCGATTTTATTATATTATTTTTACTATCTACTGATCTAATAAATTGTTATTAAATAGAAGAAAAAGGATGTCGAACTGACTCGACAAGTATCTCTAATTGAATGATACTCATCTTATAAATAGACTTTATAATTGATCTATAAACAGTTCTTATTCATATACGAAAAAGAATTATAATAATATTTCTATTCTTACTAATATAATTGTAAATTCAATTTTTTGCAATGAATTAATCTCATGATTTATTAGTTATATGCATTTCAATTACTTTTCTTAATCGGTTGTAATAAATTTAATTAATTCTTTAATAGTATTTAGATTTTTATACCTGATAATTGAATAAATAGTATACCCCATCGAACTGACCAAATCCATCCAACTAGTAAGAAAATAGTTGCAATTTGTAAAAGAGCTGCAAGAAGATTATATAAACATGCAACAATATTTTTTTCATAATCATGTTTGCCACAACAAAAAACAGCGAATGCACTAATTAATGTCCCTGAAAATAGAAAAAAAAAAGAAAACGTCCTAAGTATGAGAAGATAAGCATATATGTTTTTTTAGTAATCAATTTGTTGACAAGATATTTATTCTTCTTGTTCGCTTCTATGCTTTCATTATCGTGTGTTGTTGTTGTCACGATGTAATTCGATGATACTGATGTTCGATCTGTTAAGAATACTTACATTTACTAAAAACTCTTATGTTTTCATGCATTTATAATAATATTTTAATCTGTGTTATCTGATCGTTAAACGAAATTTGTATACATATAAAATTACTAATGAAATTCTAGTTGGTTCATATAACACAAAATAAGAAATTGTTTTAGAGAAAATAACATATTGTACACATGTTTATCACGAGAAACTCATAGGGGAAAAAAGAGAAGAATAGGCTAATATCTGCCCATTTAATGATGGACTTATTTATTATTATGAAGCGCACAGCAGGATATTGTCGTTAGACTAGTTGACATATACCAATCATTTGTACGCATATGTAACTGCTAATGTACAGAAACATCGTATGACTTTTGTTTTTAATAATATATATCGTATATTCTATCTTTTTCTTCGATTGATCAATGCAATCAAGAATATTATCAACATGCGTTAATGTTGTTATTATCACTATAATTGTAAAGGACGGATTAAATATTGTGTGAGAAGAAGCTACCATAACAACAATAATAAATAATCAAATTCAAGGAAACCTGTCCGCATGTCAACAAAATCAGTATGGCAACTATGCTGATGAATTACAGCAGGGAACATGCGCATATGTTGACAATTAAGATGAGAAAGAAAAATGATATATGAGAAAGAAATTAAAAACTATAAGACGAGAAATTCGAAGTATGTTGAGTAGTGTCTTTAACATAGATAAGGATTTTGCTTTAGGGATACATATCTTCAATATTACTCTTATCGATTTTTCCATTTATCTATTTATGTCTCCTATATAAACTGACATATTGTTTTATTTTTATTAAAATAGATATATATATATATTTATTTAATACCTGTTCCTGGTAATATAAGATTGAGTACAAAACAAATAGATGCTAAAGCACGTGGCATTTGAGGAACAGCTCGTCGAAATATCCCTTGATTAACTTTAGCTGAATTTGCACCTTTATTTACTGATGATCGTTTATTTGATGATATCGATACATGACTAGAACGAGGATTGCGATTACTTGCAATAGCACCATCCGTTGTGCGTGAACGAGTTTCATCAATATTGGTTAATTGTGATGATGATGCCATTTTCATTTTTTGTTTAGAAAAAATAATTTTTCTCTTTCCTTCTTATATATTAGCGTTATCAGAAATCTAAAAGTAAGAGTAAAACAAAAATGATAGTTCTTAGTATTTTTTCTGTTCTAATCTACATCATAAATAATTCGAGGAAATCACACACACACACATACAGTCTACACATCACTAGTTTCCTACTGCTTTGGACTAAATGTGTCCTCTAACATTGGATAGAGAAAGGGGAACAAGAGGAAAAGAAAAGAGTGTGGGCAACGTTGTCGACGACAAGCTGTACGAGCTACCGTCTTTACCGTCTCTTCGTCATTCTCTTATAACGAGTGTCTTTCGTCTCTTTTGTCTCTATCTACTACTCGTCTTCTTATTTGCCTCTTATTCTCTCATTCTTGAAAAAAAACAGTTTCTCCTAGATTCTTCCTTTTTTTACTACAATTTTGGGATAACACACTTCTATCATTTGTATTCTGTACAGCACTACTGAGACTGACATATACGACCAAACACAACAACAACAACAACAACAACAACAACAACAACAACAACTATGATCATCGTCTCATATTCTTATAGGCTGGAGATGTTCTATAGCTATCTATCTATCTTGTTTGCTTAAAACAAGCACGTATACAAATGAGACAACTAGATCTATAGAAATAATAATCAAGGCACTTTAAAGTGCGTACATGTTGTATATGTATATATATAAATCTTTAGAATCTATTGATCAATAACTGATTATTATTATTTTATATATAAAAAAAATAAAATCTAAATGTATTCGTTCAATATTATCAAATATATTTATTTATTGATTAACAGTTATAGATATTTTTCTGATGTCAAGGATAATTTCATAAGAGCACTTTGTCTTTGTCAAGAGTACTTGAAAAGAAAAACAAAAACGAACGATAATATTTAGTTAATAATACTATGAACTTGTCAATCAAGTTATTGATTAATATTCTAATTAAAATCGACAAAAATATATGTTAGAAATAAAATTTTTTATCTAATAATGATTTACTATCTATCGTATGTTCTTGTTTTATATACCTTATCAAATATATAATCGAGAAAAATTTGACAAGCAAGAAATGAATTGATTTCATATGACATTTTTACGATTCGATTATATGAGAATAGAAATTTATTGGCATCATTAAAGTTTTAATATCTACTCTTATTACATTGCGAGAGATTTTGATTTTGATTAGAAATTATTTAACATCAGTCGTCTAAACTTTATTAATTAGTTTGTTGTACGATAAAATAATTATGGCTGTAAAAAATAGATATCGATCAAAAAAAAATACTTACTATTTTCTGAAGAACATCTGTCAGAAATAACAGATTTATAGGAGACCTTGAACTTCATGTGTCATTATAAGATATCAATCTTTTCTTTGTGAAACTTGTTTTAATCATATATCAATATTTGGAAACTTATTAATCTTGTTCTTTGCTTTTTAATGGCTACTATTAGTTTGTCTTTCATTCCGTGAATGGAATAGATAAATTACAGTCAGCTTAATTTATTAAATGAAAAATCAATGCGTTATTGTCAACGTATATTTTGTATAGAATGATTATTTGAGCTATTGATAGAATTAATGATAAAGGATAACTCTTAACATTCAATGTATGAATTATTTTTTATTTTGAAGAGTATAAAATATTTTAAGAAAAAAAACGATGACGATAGACTCTCGTGGTCCACATACATTTCTATGACTTAATTGATCAACATTTTATCTAATAAAATTGCTATCGAATAGTTTACTAATAATTCATAGAAAGATTTTTCATTCAATAATCATCATTTGATGCTAATATTCTTTGTGTCTGTTTAGTTTTTTCTTTAAATGTGCATGTTTTCAGGGTTGTGATTGATCGCATGGTCTTTGTTTTTTTAGTTATTTCTTGTACCGTTAGGATGTCAGCATCACAGTTTATGAAAAATAAAATGTATATATTATGATCGAATTATATTGAATTCATGCAAAATTTCCAACTGAAAGGCCACAAATAATATATCTGATTAGACAAAAAACATATGAAATGTCTTAACAAATTTTAACCTCAGGAGGAAATCTCATAGCGTGTGTACTGAAAAACTTTGTTAGATGGGAAACATATGTCAAAAATAATACATCGAAATTTTACAATCGAGAGACAAAATCATAAAAATGTAATAGTATTTTTCTAGATCGAATAAAATATTTTATTTTTTATTAATATCTCTTTTAAATAGAGACTGATTGATTGTTTGCAGATGTAATTTCAATATTCATGTTATAATCTAAGATAATATTGTTCAAATTTTATGAATAATGTAATTTATATCTGTATGATTTTTAATATACAGTACAGTATTTTCTACGACAAAAGCCTTGAGAATTGCAAATAATCAGTGGATACTAATTGGGTAATAACAGGAAAAGAGAGTGCCTTTTGCCTGATTGAATTGGCAGATGTTATCGAGAAAAAAAAAGAAATATACATTTTTTTTTATTATTTCACTAAAAAATAAAATTTATTATTGTTTATAAATGATTATTTTTAGACTTTTTTTTCTCATTATTCAAAGTGAATCGTCTATATGAAAATCAATTTTAGATATTGTCAAATTGTACTTAAAATTTATGAGTTATAAATTCTTCGATAGAAACTGACATATTGAATATCTACGTAAGTGAAGTATCTTTTTAATAAAAAAAAGTTTCATAAATAATTTAAAAAAAGAATATAAAATTCGTTAGACTTCATATATATATATGTGAAGTATTTTTCTAGGCAAATTATTTCCAGATGTCACATCGCCTTATCTCACACAGCATAAATAGACTAAATAAATCATTCCCTGCTTGATTGCTTGGTTGTTCTAAACAAAAGAAAGAATTTAGATCAACTAGATTTTTTTTTCCATTGGATATTATTAATACAATTAAACGATAGGAAAATTCCATTAGTATATTTTTCAGCTGATTAGAACTTTCATAAAAGAAAAGACCGACGACGGCCACCATCTAGTTTATCAAATTTTTTGTTTTTTTTTTGACATGTTATATAATATTGTATTATTCGACTGAATCTCATAAGAAATCTAGAAGATATAAAATAAATGTACCATGAAAATGACACGCTTTTGTTTTCTTTTTTTCTCCTTGATTATTGCTTGCTTATGTTTCGTAATTCGTCATTTATATTTGAGTGTTTATTTCAGAATAAATAAACCAAGAAACCTTGACAAGTCAAAGAAATCAAGGGTAACGAACAAAAATACGTTAACCATACTCTTTCAAATTCATTAGAAAGATTTTTTCTCACATTAACACAAAACCTAGATATTTAATTAAAAAGTCTGTATTGTATCGTTAGATATCTATATGTAAATAACGAAACATATACAACACTCTCGTAATTGATAAACATATCTCATTGTACAAGTACAATAACATATGTATAAAAAATGAACGTTGACAAAATGTATGAGATATACATAAAGATGATACGAAAAAAAATCTTTAAAAAAGTATCCTTTTTAATCTAGTTAATATCAATATTTGAAATCCAAATATAAAATATGGTAATAAATTGCTTTTAATAGACGAAGCTCGATTACACATTTCTTTTGCACACATACAAAATCTTCCTGTGCTAAAATTTGCTCCAGTTGCATGTCGATAACAAACATCGATTTTTGATAAACGAAAAAGAAAATAATCATTTAAACAACCACGACGTACATAGGTATCATTTGTTGATATTCCATCAAAATGAAAAAATTTTACACAATAATCAGCACATTCAACTGTACGATTAGCACGATGCATTTTAAATGGATCGCCACAATAATCATCAACACGTGAATCACATTGGTAACAAACAAATTTTGCCATACTACATGTTTCTTTTGCTACAACAACAAGTAACGTACGTAATTGATGGATTAATATAGACAGATAAACACTAGACAACTGTTTCAATAGAAAAAAGAAACCATAGAATAGTATATAAATGTATACATATATATATATATCTTCATGGTCAAAACAAAACAATATACAATCAATGAAAATCAATCTTCATTAGTTGAAAAATTATGAATTTTTTTTTTTGTTTGACTTTAAAGATGTATATATATATATATATGTGTATGATAAGGTAGTTAATATACTTACAACTTTCATCGTGTACCATTCGGTACGACGGTTAATAAAATGAAGAAAATTGAATTTAAATATTAATTAAAATCATAATTTTAACTGAAAGTTTATCTAAAAGAAAGATTTTTAATTGAAGTAGAAAATTTAGTAAATATGACAGACTAAGATATATTAATATACGTGTGAATTTTATGAATGTCCAGTAATTAATTGATTAGACCTTGAAATTGCTATTACTGATCTATCGATACAGACTTGGTAAGCGAGAGAGAGAGAGAGGCCATCATCAGCTTCGTTCTCGCTAGTATGAATTTGGTTAAGCCACTAGCTTCTGTTTGCTATTCCCTCTTGTTCTTTTCTTTTTTTTCTTTTTTTATTCGCTTTGTCATCATCGACACAACAACAAATTGGGGCTAATGCGCTGCGTTCCGCTTTCTTCTCGCCTTGTCCTATCTATGTATCTTATGCATCCATCTATATATTGTATGCTATATTTTGTTAGGAGTAAGCTCGTTTAGACAAAACGCTAAGATGGGATTCCGCCTATTCAATTTGGTACTTAATGCTAAAGATGTCAAAGAAGACGAGTCAGTATGGTACGAATATATAATTTGAGTGACAAGATCGATGCGTAAAATCATCGATTCAATCATCAATAAATTTCGTGTCATACAGAAATTAACAAGTTGTAGTTTTTTTTGTTTTTTAAATAGACGATAAGAAGTGCAGGTGTTTCTATGGGGGAAACTACTATTGTTCTCATTTCTACCTTTTTTTTCATACCACTCTCGTTGCCATCAAATATACAAAATCATGTAATGGAACAAATAATAATAGCACTTGATCATTCATTCATAGCACAACACTTTCATCTTTATTTCTTAGAGTGATTTTTTTTCTTGCCTTTCTGTATTATTATCAATCTAGATGCATCTTGATATTTATATAAGTACTTACTTCTATATTTGATTTTGTAATTTTGTGATTAAGATAGTCATATCGGATGTAATGTTCTCTATACTTCTATTTGTTATTATGCGTTTTATAGCTTGTGTATATATATATATATTTCCTTTTTACGAGTTTTGTTTCTTCCTTCTCTCTTACCTCTCGTTTTACTGATGACTTACCGTTGTAAGTTACAATGAACAAATCGCTAGAAGAACCGCCTACTATGCCAAACATTTTTTGTTCGTCTTTTTTTATGTTACATACATATTCTCTCGTTTTTTTTTTTCTATTACCGTTTTTTGTCGACATTTTTTATTGTTATTCCTGTTAAAGGCAAAGCAAAATGATTTTGTCGCTTGCACATAATCGAGGAAGTAATAATAAGCAGAAGAAAAAGAGAAAAATGTAATGCGTTAAAGAGACTGTTGACACTTAGTTGTCGATGCTACCATTACCGTCTATTTCTCTCTCTTCTTGATGTCGTTAAGTTTTTCTACTTAGATAAAAAATGATGTAATGATAGAAAATGCATGAATTAACTTGTCTCGAGAAAAAAAAACGTGTGCTACGAGACAATATATTTGCGTACATTGCTTGTGATTCTATAAATTAGAATGTATCTTTGATTTATGATTTAATAATATCTAATAGTAATATTTAGACAGATAGATTGATGACTTTTATATTATCTAGATTGAGAAATTGGAGTAGTTCTTGATCTAACATAACAAAATCATGTATTATAATAGATTTCAAGTGTTATATATTTCACCGATAGCGTTAGTAAATGCACAATGACATTCCGTTATAAATCACTCTTAGAAATTTTGTTTTGTTAAACGGAGAACGAGCTTTAGGCACAAGCTTAAAAATATATATTAAAAAAAGAAAAGAAAAAAGAAACAGGTAGATTTAATACTTAATAACCGGATATTATTTCAATTTCAAGTTAAAATGAAGAAAAAAAAACACATAATCTAATTTTAATATTTATTCATCATAGTCGACGAACCGAAAAAGAAATTAAATAGACATTTCATTTTTTTCTTCTTTCTATCATCATTTACGCTTCTTCAAATTTCAATTAAACGGATATTAAACTGTATCTAGTAGAAGATGCAACATAAAAAAATGATAATACTTATAAAGCCAAAATTTCCGGTAAGATTACGATTAACTTAATTTGAACAGACAGTTATAGAATAGAAAAGAAATTTTATAGCATGCTAATATATCTATTCTTTTGCATGATTACAAGCTTCCTATTTACTATGGTCGACATAGTCATATAATATATATTTTGTCATATTATCTTTTACAAACAATATAAAAAAAAGAAAGAAAAAGATTATAGACACAAGAGATTATCACATAAAACGTATTTTATAAGTAACAAGTTCAGCAAAAGGAACAACAAGTTGAGATGTAATATTTAATTTTTGTTTTATATGTCGTAATGAGAGAGATGTTTGTTCTATTGATTCGATTTGATCTGATGAAAATAAATGTTCAAATCTAACTTGTTCCGAATAAAATAATGAATCATAACTTTCATCACAATCATAAGCAAATCTTCGTAGAATTAAAGCAAGATTTTTTGATGAACTATATTTCGTATCATTATTATTATCATTTAATGTACGTAAATTAACTAAATGATAATCGCTAGGAAGAAATAATGGTTTAAAAAATAAATTTAATGTATGTAAAGTTGATTGAGATAATAATGAATAAAATACATGTGTTGGATAAAGAAGTTCAATAGATAAATGATGTGCTAGAAGTGTTGGATAACCAGTTAATGATGTTTGATCAGCCATCTAAATAAAATTCAATTAGATAAAATAGGTCAAGTTAAGTGTGCTTCAAATTTGGAGTTTACGAATATCGAATTTCTCGC